GCCAGGATGGTCTCAAACTCCTGACCTCATGATCTGCCCACCTCGGCCTCCCAAAGTGGGATTACAGGCTTGAGCCACAGCACCTGGCCCTCTGTGTGCCTTTGTTAAGGACACCTGTCATTGGATTTAGGGTCCACCCAGATAACCCAGGATGACCTCCTCCTCTAGATCCTTAATAATATCTGTGAAGAGCCTCTCTCCAAGTACGGGCACATTCACAGGTTGGGGGATTCAGACACGGGCATATCTTTTTTGAGGCCACCATTCAATCCATCACGAGACCCTCTCCTTTTCCCACCACAGGGTTCTTGGGCCTCTCAGAGCTTCTCCATCCAGCCTCAGTTGGTCCTCACTGTTCCTGGTTGGTGCCACCACTGCTGCCCATGCTGGGCAGAGTGAACTCTGGAGCTCCCACAGCTGGAGGAGGAGCTGCGGGAGCCCAACCTCAGCTTCCCACCAGCTCCAACCCTTCTCATGTGCTACTGGAAGCGCTCTCCGCGAGGAGGCTGGCAGATGGACGGGCGCTCCAGGCCAGGGTCCCCTATCCAGCAGCAGGTGGCCATAAATAAGGATGACCACGGTGGCTTGGGGAAGCCAAACTGTGATGAGATGCCCTTTTTAGGAGCAGGGTGGGCTCTGGGGACAGCAGGAGCTTCCTCTTTGGCTGGAAGTGTTCATTCTTCATCTGCTCATTCACTAATCATTGTGTGTCCACCGTGCAGCAGGCACCATGGCGGGCAGTAGGTACAGGTAACAGGTGTCTGCGCTCGGGGAAGTGGGTCCCGATCAGAGGACATAGCAAGCAAACAGGACCCAGCCCCATGCCAGGATGACTGCGGCCCCTTGTCCATCTGGAAATAAGACAAATTGTTATTTTTTACTGTGTTGGCATAAAGATGAATATCAACCAGGCAGAGTTATATTCATTTGCTCTGATTTTAAAGGACATTAAAATGCATTTGTGGGTCCCTGAAAGTCCCATGGGCCTGGGCACTGTGTCTACCACGTTTAGTGGAGAAGCCAGACCTGATTGAGCCATTTCATGCCAAGGAATGATGTGTATCGGGAAGCCACAGCGTGTGGGGTGACAGGGAGGATAGGGTGGTCAGGGACGGACTGTGAGGAAGGCCCTTTCAGCGAAGACCTGAATGCAGGCCACAGTGGGCTGTGACAGGGCCGGGGGTACTGCAGGGAAGAGCTCTTAGCCACCTGAGGGAGGAGTGTGTGCAAAGGCCCTGGGGTGGCAGGCGGGAGGAACAGCGGGAAGGCCACGTGGCTGCGGCAGAGGGAGGCAGGCAGGACGTCAGCAGGGAGAGAGCAGGCTGGTTGTGCATGGCGTTGAGGGCCACAGAGGGACCCTGGGTTTCATCCAAAGTGCACTGGGGGCCATTGCAAATGCAGAGACCAGGGGAAGCCACGGTGGGGAGGGTTAAGGGTACCGGGAGGAAGCAGCGTTCCAATCCCACTTTGCACCAATCAAGCTGCTCCCCCTTCCTCCTCCTCGTCCTGGGAGGTTGCTTTCTTAGAGACTGGCCGTGGGACGGGCGCACAAGCCCACTCTGTCCGGTGTTTAGAGTGGGAAGTGGTACCCAGTCAAGGTTGCATGTGGAGGCGGCTGAGAGGACACACACTTCCTCTGGGGAAGACATCTGCCACCTTCTTATTTATCTGGGACAAAGGAGAATTCTCATGCCACTAGGCAAGAGGCAGCACGTGCTGGGCAGAGGGGCCAGGGTTGGCTCCAGCTCAGAACTCGACCCGGTTACTTAGTCAGCTGTGGGACCTCCATCTTGGGCAACTTACCACTTTCTCTGTGCCTCAGTTTCCTCATCTGTGACATGGGTGTGGTGCCTACCCATACTTAGGATATTTAACAGCAGTTGCATGTAACAGAAAAACCCCAAATAATAGTGGCTTAAAGAAGATAAAAGCTTTTGTCTCATCTAAAAGAAGTCTGAAGGTCAGTCATCCAAAGACAGGACGGTAGTTGCCTTACTCTGCCCCTAAGGATCTAGACTCCTACTTTTGTGCTCTACCGTCTTAATTCATGGCTTCATCTTCACAACCCACCTCATGGTCCAGGATGGCTGTTGGAGTGCCAGTCATATCTGTTGTATTAGTCTTTTCTCATGCTGCTGATAAAGACATACCCAAGCCTGGGAAATTTACAAAAGAAAGAGGCTTAATGAACTTTCAGCTCCACGTGGCTGGGAAGGCCTCAAAATCGTGGCAGGAGGAAAGGAG